TTGGAAACAGCCTTCCCTTTCTGCTGACCTCTGTAACAGACAAAGAGGTCCCTGTGATCGCACAACTGCTCTCGTGACTGGGCCATGATGAGCCAGTTGTCGTGGTAGTTGAGGATCCTGATGCCCACTTCCCATAACGGGGCAAGGGTGCCCTCCTTTGTAAAGACATGGGGGGACAGGGATAGCCCAAAGTGGGAGGACCCTGTACTGCCAAGCCCGACCCTCGAATGCAAACCATAGAAACGGCCTGTGTTGAGGAAGAATCGAGACATGAAAGTAAGCATCCTTCAGGTCGACCGCTGCAAACCAATCCTGGGGCTGGATGCATCTGATGATGCGCTTCTTGCTTCAACATCTTGAATGGAAGCTTGTGAAGGGCCCACAGATCCAGGTTTGGCTGGATGGCACAGAAGGCATCGCGTCCTGGCTCATCACAGCAGGACTCCCTATGTCCTCGGAGGGGACTGGCCAGAGATGCGTGGAGAATCTCTTGGGCGCTGGCGATAGGGGACGTCGTGGGCGAGAGTGAGGAGGCAGCACGTTGCTCACTGTCAGCCCACATGCCTGATAGCACGGAGGGAAAGGAAACTGCTCTTTTTTCAAGAATGTGGGTACCGCTGGCTGTTGGACCAGTGGCGGAACAGAAAAAACACAAAACACAGGATTCTCCACCCGGCCCTCCTCCGGGGAAAGGAGTGGCACTGTCCTCACCATCTCCTGAGAAAGAGCAGCTTTCCACATCTCCGGGTTGCCCGTGTCAGGGCCGCTTTGTCGTCTTTCTAGAGGACTTAGGGGCCGGCTGGGACACGGGGTGCACCGCGGTCCTGCGAGAGGCTCGACGCGCCAGCCTTGACGCTGTCTCAGCACGGGGCGGAGGCGCTCTGGAGGACACTGGGGGGCACCCATGGCGACGAGCAGACTGAGGCGGGGCCCACGACGGTATGGTGGCAGATGAAGGATCACATCGGGGCAGGATGTGCTGAATCACCTCAGTCTGTTTCTGTACTGCCAAGAACTGCTGGGCAAAGTCCTCGACAGTGTCACCGAACAGGCCAACCTGCGAGATGGGAGGG